TGATTCTGCTCTCATACAACACTGCTTTCTCTGAAAAACACCATTTTAGGCTTCACTATAGACCCAAATGGAGCAGCACAGTGACTCTGATATTGTGCAAATGGAAAAGTGCACTTAGTGCTCCTTGTCTTCCCAGCTGGGACATTTTCAGTGCTGCCCTGTCCCATACCAAATGCTTTATGAGAACTGATCCACCCAGGAAAACCCACCCTCTGCTCCATCAATCACTCACCTTTCCCTGCATCCAGAGCAGCCCCCTTTCCCAGGCATCTGGGAGGGATGCTCAGGTTGACCCCACGTGGCTGGGTAACCAGAGGAGGGCCGCATGGACCGGTGGAGGGAATGTGCTAATCCTGGTCATGCCCTTCCATCACCTTCACGTGCTCTGTCAGCTGCGTGGAGCCGCCCAGCCCCGCACGCCCTCCGCCCCGGTGGCATGTCCCCATGGACCCGTGCCATGGGGCCTCATGCTCCTCCAGCACAGCACTGCTGCCAGCCACAGTCGCTTGGGTCACCGTGGAGTGCCGGGTGACACGGGGAATCCGGCTGCGTGGCTGCCACCTGCACTTGGGGGCAAAAAAAATATCACTGGAACGGGTTCGGAATTAGTCTGGAGGTGCTGTGTCTCCCAGGTTGTCCCCAGGGGAAAAGAAAAGGCCAAACAATGAGGCTGGAAGGGAGAAAATGTGGGAAAATGGAGTTCTGTGATAGTGGAGGTGAGCAGCTCCTGTGAGAAAAGAGGTAAAAAAGCTGGAAAAAGTCCAGTTTGTGGTTTTGGAGACATAAGGGAAGTCACTCTGGGGATGGATGTTCACTAGACCATCACAGCTATGCAAAATTTGAAAAGCCATGGTCCGGAAACAGGGCTTTGGGGACAACTGGGATACAAATGGACTGTTAGGCTGCTTCTCAGGCCATGTGGAGACACGTATTTTGTTGCTTAGCATTAGTTTTTGTTTTTCAGCTCCAGAAAGCTGTTTTCCTACAGCCTTGTCTCAGGACCGTGGGGTGCAGAAGCAAACTGGGGCTGTTGACTTTCAGACTACTCAATCATCCTGCAAATTACAGCCAGCCCAGAAGAAAAACACAGCTCTGCATGTTTCCTTTTTTAGGTAGAAGTGTTGGGAAAACAACACGAGATTTTGTTTCTCATAAACTAGGGGCTGTTTCAGGAATATTAATTATTTTTCTTGTATCAATATTTTACATTTATTCCTCTGCTATGGTATTAGGGTTGAGATGGATGAAGCCTACAGCATGGTTTCAGACTTCCTTTCAGGTACTCACAAGCCCCTGAAAAAAAATAAAAAATTATAAAATAGTGCTGAGGTTTTGATGTCAGAAAGCTTTATTTTCTGGTTACTTTTAGCCTGGGGTATGGAAGTTGTGGGCTCCATTCCTTGCCCTGTGTAATTCCTTTGCAACATTGTTTGGAATCAGATTTTTAAAAAGCTTCTGTATGCCTATGGAAGGGGCTTAAAGGGCACCTGAAGGTGTTGAGGCACCTGACTAATTTTTAACTTCTTGTGTACCACCTCTGTAATCCTGCATCTCCCAGAATTTCACACTGGTAGAAGCTGTTCTGCTTTGTAGTTGTACTGCAAGGAGAAATTCTCAGTCTGGGAGATGGAGCCTCCAAAGGCACACATGTGATTTTCAATAAGGAAGTGAGGATGGAAGGAGTGGATCCATCAGGGGATTTTTATCCTCTGTGTCCAACCTGAGCTGGGTGCTCGGTGCTGGGCTTGGGCACAGCCCGGGTTGGAAGAAGGTCTTTTTTTTCGGAGCTGATTGAGGCCCAGAGAGCTCACTCGAGCCTAGACAGTCTGAGACAAGACAGTCATGGTGTACCTGGGATTTAAGCCTCGGTCTCTGTGCATGAGTAGAAAAAACAAGACAAGGAGGAGGAGCTCAGTCAGGTCCCTCTGTCCTGGTGGAAAACCTGCCCGTGAACCAATGTCCCACATCTGCACCAGAACTGAGGCTGCTTTGGACTTCAGTCTGCATGGAAACAGGGGTTGTGTAGATAGTTTTATGGCTGGATCACCTGTGTGGTGATGTCCTTGGGACAAAGACCTTGACTCCTTTGGGGTGAAATGGCTGGAAAATGTTACAAAGAGGTGTTTTACACATTATCCTCTGAGATGAAGCATGAAGCTGAGCTCTCATTCTGGTGCAAGTTAGAGTGATTTTATCAGAAGGCATGGCATGAACATGACCATGAAGGTTTCTCTCAGTCAACACTGTCTTTGAACTCAATGAGGCTGAAGTTATTGCCTGATAGGAAGAGGAGTCCATCTGGGATTTCTCAGATAAAATGATAAAAATGATGATATAAATATGTAAAATACAAAAACAGTGTTGTCAGACACTTTGTTTCTGGCTCAAGTGGTTTATATGTTTAGTCTTAGATGTTTTTCACATTGATTTTGTGTATCAAGATTTAATGTTGTCAGGAACCACTCAGTAAAAATATTTAGTAAAAACAATAAATATAGAGGGTGTGATTTCATAATCCTAACAAAATAGATAAGATAGATGTCCAAACTAATTCTTGGCTTGGGTTCAGGCATTCTCCTGCTGCCTATCACTGAACTAGTACTGAGATAACTTTGTTTTCAAGGGGGTCTTCATGCTGGAGCGTATCAAGTAAGAGATCTAAGAAGCTATAACATCAACAGCAACGATGTTTCTATTGAGATACAAAAAGTTTAGCTATTGAGGCAGTATTTTTTCTTGTCGTTTGTTTAGTCTGTTTGGTGAATTCTGCCAGGTTGGTTTTGATCCTGTGTGAAGAGCGATTTGCTGTAAGAGCGGAAGCATCAGCCGAGTCATGTTTGAAAGTAAATAATAAATAATTGTAACACTTAATAAAAGGAGCTGACATCTCCACAGTTTATTTTCCACTTAGTTTAGCTTAGTTCAAGCCAGCTTCTTTCTGGCATCATTTGCAGCCAAGCCGAGAGATCGAAACGGGGCAGCTGCCCCCGTCTGTCCCCCGCTGCCTGCGCGGTGGGTTCCCAGGCCCGGGGCTCTCTCCCGGCCTGGGCACAGGGGTGATTTGGCCGGGACGGGTTCTGGGGTGCGGGGGGGCTGCGGGCTCGCAGCTCTCCACAGCCGCCGGCCTTACGGGGGTGCGGGGAGGGGAGCGCTCCGGGGCACGGCGAGCTCGGCCGGGGGTGCCAGGCTGGGCAGCGGCGGGGACTGCGGGACGCGCTCCCCGCTCCCGGCGCTGCGAGCGCTCCGCAGCCGCCGCTGCCGCCCGCAAAGGGTTAAGGGGAGCGGGGCCGGCGGAGGGCGGGGGCTGCCGGGGGCTCCCGGGGATTGGTGCGAAGTTTGGAGCGGGGCGGCTCCGCGCCGCCCTCCGCGGCGGCTCGGCCCCCACCGCCACAAAGCCCTGCAGGGAAAGTTGCTTTATCGCCGTTTCTCTCTACCCGGCTCTCCCCCCCCCCCATCCCCTCCCCTTCCCCAGCCCCTTTCCCCTCCTCCCCTCGCTCCTTAAACGGGATTCCGGCTGGGCGACCCGCCGGACGGCATCACCGGGCATCCCGCGGCGCGGAGCCCCGGAGGCTCTGGCAGGTCCCCGCTGTCCCTCCCCGCACACACACGCTCAACCCGGCCCGGAAAGCAGGAAAAAAATAATTTACAAGGTTTCCCCCCTTTCCCTGACCTCCTCGCCCGTAACTCTCGAGTGGAAAAAAATCGCCCGCGGGGGCGAAGGGGGGAGGTTGTTAAAAAGCCGGTGAAGGGGCAGAGCCGCTCCGTGGGGAGGGCACCCCCAGGCAGCCCCCGGCACCCCGGGGAGGGGGGCATGAGGTAGAGGCCGGCGGCGGAGCGCCCGCCGGGCGCCGTGGCCGCGGAGGGCATGAGGCGGCGAGCGGCGGGGATGGGCTCCAGAGCGCGGTGTTAGAGCCCGGCAGCAGCCAAGGTAAGTGTCCCCCGAGCCGCCAGCCCGGGCCGGGACACCGCGCCGGGGCCGCGTAGCGCACAGCTGGGAGCCGCCAGCGCAGCACCAGGTGGCATCGCGCCGGGTGTCCCCCCGCTCGTCCCTCCCTGCCGCGACCCCGAGTCCCGGCGGCGAATATCCCGTTACCGCCGAGCCCCGGGAGAGCCCCGGGAGAGCCCCGGGAGAGCCCGGCCGCCCCCCGCCGCGAACCGAGCGGCCGCGCTTGCTTTGCTGGATGCTGTACGCGGGTTGTTGTGTGTCCTGGGGGCACGGGGTGTTTAAACCGGGGAGTTTACAAGGGTGAGGAATCCAGACAGTGTTTAGAGAGTGAGAGTTTTAGGAGGAGAACAGGGTGTAATTAATGTAAACCCGATCTTCCCCGGGTGTGCGTATCACAGCGAAGGCATCTTCAAGAATCTGGGTAATTAAGTGCGGTTGCGCTTTGGGACGCACCTCTGGAGCCCACGGAAACAAGTGGGGCTGGTGGTGGGGGGAGCGTGGCGAGGGGGGGAAGAAGAGGAAAGGAGGAATCTGTGCTGTGCAGAGAAGGCTCGGAGTGGAGGAAGGCGCGTACCCAGAGCGGAGCCTGGCTGAGGGGCACTGGAGCAGCAACACAAAGTTTTCTGGGCTGCTGATGGGAGAGGTAACATTCCTCCTCCCCCTTCCACCAAGTTCCTCCGCAAATTGTTAACCTGAAATCTTGTTTTATGGCCACTTGCTAGCGTTTTGTTTGCCTTCCAGACTGGTTCTGTACAGGATACCAAAGAATTATGCGTTAACTGTAAACTTAGAGGAGCTTACTGGCCTCAGTGGGTTCTTGATTTATATCAGACTAAAGCAGAGAGGAGGGCAAAGTTTTACTTAGTGAGCACCAAGGAATGAATTACAAGTATGTTGCTCTTTCATTTGCTGTTTCTTCTTGTCAGCCTTCTCAGTAGGATTTAAAACTCTGCAAAGTTGAGAGTTGTTCAGTTTTCCCCCCCAGTAACTATTTTGCTCTCCTTTTTCCTGACTCCAGGTTTGAGAGGACAGTACCCTGTGCGATACGGCGGGATCTGCTTTTCAAAATGGAATTGCAGCTGGCGCTCCTTCTCGCAGGGATAATTGCATTTTCGGACTCGGCGAGAGGTAAGGGGACGGCGCTCGGTGTGATCACCCTGTGACTCTCCCCCTTCCCTCTGCTCTGTGGGCTCTGCAAACACCCGCGGTACCCCCGAAGGGGACCCCCCAGGGGAGTTGCTGTCCGCAGGGACTCGTCCCCTGTACATTTTTTGTCTGCACAGAGGTGCAGGCTTGTGCCCACGTGTGGTGCCTCCTTACCTGCATGGTTTTGGGCTGTCGTTTGGGATGGAGCGCGGTCACTGTGGCTTTGCTGAGGTCTGTTAGGCACAGGTGAACTTTTCTTGTGTCTGTGTAAGAATACACAGACAATTTTAAAGAAAAGCAACTGCATTCCTCTGTGGATCAGAAATACCTCTCCCCTCCTGTAATCGCTCCAGCCTCTGCCCCGTGTATTCCCACTTACAAACTAAACAAACACATCCATTAACTTCCCTGGTGACAGACAAATGACAGTTCCCAACAGCGAGAGCGTATTTTAGTGCTGAGGCTCCAGCAGTTGATCGGATTTCAATAAACAGGTTACGCTTCCAGAGGCAAACTTGAAATACGTTGACCTGGGAATGATGGAGGTAGGAAAAAAGTTCCTTTATGTCAAGGTGCTTTTAGCAAAGCTCTGGGATCAGAGTGTGAGGAGCAGCGGCGCTTCCTGTGCTTTTGCCTGTGTTGTACCTCAGTGGGTGCTGTCCTTAGAAAGCCTGAATGCAAATCCAGGCTCTCAGCTCCCCTGCCCCTGGTCACAAAGTAGGGGCTGAATTGTTCCAGGAGAATGGGGGTACAACTTTAGGATGCAGATTGCTCCAGCTGCAATTCCCAGTGGTCTCAGAATTTTGTGAATTGTTGCAAGACCTTCAAGTCACCCATTGTGATGGACTTGTGAATTAAAAGGTTTAAACTTGCCCTTCACTTGGGCTGTAACTTGCCAAAAATAAATCTTGGGGGGAAAGTGTGGGAAAGGAGAAGGGGAGCATTACTCTGAAAACCCAAGTTTGGTTTAGTGCACTGCGTTTTTTTTCTTCTTGGCATTGGCTCTCAAGCAAATATTTTATGGAGGCAAAAGCACTATAAAATGATTTGGCTGGAAGCTGAATGAAAAAGAAAACAGTATATAGGCTGTAATTCCTGCAAGTCTGAATTCCAGGCAAGGCTTACAATGGGGACTCAGTTTAAGTTGTGGGCGATGGGCAGCAGTGTATGAATTAAGATGACTTCATGGACGTATTTTATTGCAATGGACCTGAGAAGTTGGTGGAGTTCCGGAAAAGATCTGAAGTGGGCAGGAGAAGACAAAAAGATTCTTGTCTCTGATGTGAGCTGAATATCGGCTGCTTTACTGGCTGACCCTGTTTAAATTTGGTTTGCAATTGTCTTGCTCGTAAATTCATTGCCCCTGGAAAATGAAGCGCTGTGGGCTGTTGTCATGTGAAGAAATGACAGAAAATTAACAGCAGTAGTTTCAGGACATCATTACTTTTCCTGTGGAAAGATCTTTTTAATAGAACTTTGATAGGATCATATTGGTAATTGGGTTATTTACACTTTTTTGAAAAACCCATCCTACAAGTGTATGGAGAGATGGTTCTGATTATTTAAAATTATCTAGAAATAGAGGTTAAAAGCCAAGGCCAAACCCATGAAAAATGTCATTCATTCATGGGCTGATTTAAGAGAGGGGAAGTAGAGAAGAAAAAGGAGTCATTGCTGTGAAAACAGAGACAAAATTCTGACATTTAAGTCCTGCTTTAGACTTCCTTAAGGAGGAGAACATTTTTGATAGCAAAGGAGGTAGATGGAAGATCAAACTTCTGAGTAGAGATGAGACACTTCCCAGAACTATGAAACTTTGTGCTGACAAATATCTCCAGTTGTTAGGTGTTTACACTGGGATAATTTCAGGTTCTTGGAAAAATGTGCCAGGCTTTTCATGTACCTGCAGAGTTTTTCTGAACGCCTCATATGAGGGCTTTGGCCACTGGAGATGTGTAAACGTTACCTGTTACAGTCGCTCAGGTTTTATAGGCAGTCCTTCAGCCAAATCTCAGCCTGAGGTCGTGAGGCTCTTCTCTGGAGGAAGAAGGGCTCTTTGTTTTGGTCAAACAGCATTTAATATCTGTGTCCTGATTGCAGATGAGACTTGTGTGGCCCAAAGTGTGCCAGCACCTCCTGATCCGAGGTACCAGAAGTAAAATAGGTGCTTGCTGGCTGGCCATCAAGTGCGGAAGGTGGCTGAGGAGACTCTCTGGGAAAGTGATGGTCCTTCTTTTCTATTCATTTTAGGCAAAAGTAGGTGATGCTGTAATTAGGGTGTTAATTTGGAGGCGACTGAATGCTGTGCCCGTGCTCGGGGAAGGGCTGTGCCGTGGTGCATCTGCACAAGGGGGCAGAGTTAAGTTGCCCACGCGCTCCAGCACGTTTGATATTTCCTGACATTTGAATTCTCAGCTGCAATCTTGCGTTAAATGTTACGTTGTATTATTTTTACATCTTTATTTAGGTGACACCTTTTAAGGCAAAGGGCCTTTGCAGGAATGACTGATTGGGTTTATGGGGCAGGTTTGGTTTTTTCCGCCTCCCAGAAAAAAGGGGAATTTTTCCAGAGTCGGATCTGTGCCTGCTGGCTCTGTCCCACCAGTGTATCTCATCACTGAGATGAAACTCTGTAAAAAAGGGAATGTCTTAGCAAACCAATATATACTCTTAAGGAAGAGGCAATACCTTTGAAAGGTAAAACAGAGATCAGGTCTGATTTTAGAGGTGCAGGTGGTAGAACTGTCTGTGTTTGAAGGGATGGGGGGATGAGGTAACTCTGGTTGGGTTTGAACCAATGCTTTTGGGGTTGACACTGAAAGGCTTTGACTGAGGGCTTGTGTACACCTACAAATGCACTGGAAAAACCCTTCCAAAAAACTTAGTCTAGGAATAGCTCTCAGTGGCCAATCTTATTCCAGGCTAAGGATCTCCTGAAGGGAGCCTGTACCAAAAAAAGTCTTCCTTGGGAGCTATTTTGATAGATATCCAAGCCCCTTCTTTCCCTTGTGGCTGAAGACTAGAAAGCCTGTGTTCTCAAAACCCATTCTTGGAGCACAAAACCTGCATGCTGTGGTTTTCTAAGACGGACTGTGCCTTCCAGCTGACAGCCAAGGCATGGGGCAGCAGCTTCAGCCTGGTTCCCAGCCGCGATGGATAATGTCTGAACCTGGGATAACAGGTCCAGCGGCTCATCCCTCGTGTTACTCCATTCCTGCTCTCTCTAAGCAGCCCCATAGTGGGCATAAAAGTCTTCAGTGGCCTGCCCTGGCCGTCCTCTGCAGGGGTTAATGCCATCTTGGGCCACTAACCTTTAGTGACTATGTCCTGCAGCAATGTAGCTCCTGCCATGCCACACCTCCTGCTGGACACAGGTAATACAATCTGATATTTTCCTGCCTATGTTATCTCAGTGACAGACAACGCAATATTTGTTCCAAATCTGTCAAGTTGCCATCATATTCGCCTTGGTGACCGTATATGGTAACATTGGGATGTGCCTGGCTTGGTCCTGTGGCTTAAGCAAGATTTTGTATGGTATGTTTAGAAGTTTTTGGTAAGAGCAGTAACCACCCTCCTCTTAGCAAGTAAACTGATATTCTGCTGGAAACTAATTAGTTTGGATGTTGATTTCATTTTCGGTGCATTGCGTAGGGAGGGGAAGAACGGGACCTTAATTGCTTTCTGTTCTGGCACTTCTCTGTGCGACCTTGGCTTGCAAACCTGCTTGGTGTCTGCTTTACAGGGAATTTGCTGATTGGGCCGCCTCAAAATTCAATGGTTTCATGCAGAAATAATGTTATGTGCCATTCTGATTTCTCTTAATATTGAGGGAAAGGGAACAGGATGCTAGAGATGTTTTTTTTTTTATTTATTAGAAATTGAGTTCTTTGTTCTGATGAACAGAATTCCCATTCTGTAACTTTGGGGTTTATAAGAGTCCTTCAGTAAGCACAGAAAAGATAAATAATGGTAATGTGAGAGAGATGGTTATTGGCTTCTGCTTTATGCCTTTATTCTTGTTGAGTGGTTGTTACCAGATAGAACGATTAGGTAATTTCTCGCTTGTGAAAGAGAAGCATGTTCAGATCTAACAGCCTGATTCAGATTTTATGGAAGTCACAGCACATCTTCTGGTGAAGTTTGGGGCATTTCTTGGATTTTGCTCTTGGGGAGCTTGCTCATGAATAATCTGTCAGCATGACTTGTACCTAGAGTCAACATGACGATCTAAGAAAATCCTGGTTATTTTTTTAAACCTTGGTTCCTCCCTTCTTCTGAGGCTGTCGGCTGCTTTAAATTGTGGCTGAGTTTAAACATAAAATTCAGTGTGCGTCATACTGGAAAATTAGGGTTGATTTTATTTGTTTTTAATTAGGAATATTACAAAATTCAGCAAATTGCTTAAATACATCTAGATTTTCCCTAAAGTTTTTATAACTCTGTTTTCTGAGTCCATATGTTTCTTTGACCTTCATTAAAAGACGCAAGCAGCAAATCAAAATATGTCTTTTCTGGGATGAACTTGCACACAGCAAAGGCTGGACTCCTAAGCCTGAGTTTTAGCCACAGAAGCAACTTTCATGTGCCATGAGGTGGTGCTTGAGATATTACAGGAAAGTGTTTTTTTTCAGGAAAAGAATATAATTTGAAATTGAAAAATAAATGACACTTGCTAGCAAGTAGGAACTCCCTTTTCAAGATTTGTGGCCATTGGTGCCAGTTTATTAACTAAAGCTGAAGTTTTTCATTTGACATGAATTGGCTGATAGAGCTGATCTTTTCCAATATCCTCTCTGATAATTCCTTTTGGGGTGTCTACCTCACCATAAGTGATGCTGATACATCTGGGCACAGAACACTCATCATGGAATAGTGTGAGTGCAGTGGAGTCTGCCTGTGCATTTTTGGATTAATTACTGGAAGAGATAAAAATTCCCACTGAAAGAGGAAAATAATAATGCAGAGATCCTGTTGTGCCT